CACAGAATTCATTATTTGTGGCAGAGAATCCATTAATATGTCTACGACACAATAAGCAATTTCAAAAATTAAATGACAAGTAATATATGTAAAATAAAAGTTAAATAAGTACTTATTATACTCCTGCAGTTTTATTATACTTAAAAAAATTATACTTATGTTTTGAAAATAGTGGCAGAGCAGGAAAAAACATTCTATTTTAAAATGAAACAATCATTTCCAATCATTCATCACACATAATTTATGCAAATTATGTGCATCGAAATGGAGGGAGAAAAATATTATTATATCTATTAAAAAGATATGGAGAAAGTATAAAATATGGGTAATCTTAGATTGTCATGCTCATGATTTTACCTTTTTCTAATGAAAAATTTATACTCTATGAGTAGTGTAATGGAAAAATAGATAATTCCTTGAAGTGCTAAGTATAGAAGGTTCTTCCCAAGAAAATCCCAGGATAGAGGATTTCGAAACATACAAATTCCTGGAAAGAATAATGATAACTAATTATTTTTACATAATAATTTAATATTGAAGACAACACTTGATGAATGATATAAATACATATTTATTAATATTATTTACCTGACGTTTTATGTTATTGAATTGCCATATTGTTTTGAACTAAATAATTTTTATAAAAGTTGAAAAAAATTTGCAGTTTTCTTAATTTTTCTTTGTGAAAAAATTAAATTCACATTAATATTGATCAGGACTAACTATTATTTAAATAATGAAGAACAAAAAATTTCTATAAAGATAATTTTCATGACATTTACGATTTTTGAACACAAATTTTAATAAGGATTAGGATCAGATCTCATATAGTTCTTAAAATATTTAAAAATATACATATTATATTGACATTTTTCATTCAAAGATAAAATAAATCTTAATTATGACAATTTACCAATCATTTTTTTTATGAAAATTAATAATGATATAATATATTAAAATAATTCAGAAAAATTTAACATTAATTCCATTTTATAAAAGACAAACATTTTAAGAAATATTCAATAGAAAATCTTTTCTTAAAATTATATAAAAATAAAATTTTAATAAAATTATAAAACTTTAAATACAGGATGTAAAAATGTAAAAAAAAAATAATAATCCGAAAATTAAATTTAATTTACAAAAACATAAGATTTATATTGTACTTGCCTTCCATATTAATAATAGTAAAAACTATATTTTTATTGCAGAAGATCCATTATTAATTTAACATATCAAAACCACTCACCAAACTTTGCTAGGGTTTCGTAGGCAAGTTGATTTGTGAATAGGTCCATAAGGCCTCGCCCCAAACAATAATGGGGAAAGATAAGATAAACTTGCTTCAAAATCCTAGCAATGTCTTGTAGCTCCTATAAATAAAGTTTTTAAAATTTATCAAATCAAGCAAGAATACGATGTTCTTAATGAAATGTGAATATTAATTAAATATTTTTGTTACCATTCTTTAATTAATAAAATTCTAATTTTGATGGTTTTATTTGCTTGCAGTATTATCTATGTGGTCTATGAATTCCTAATCTAATACATTACTTTATAATGTATAAAATTACAGTAGTTCTTTATTGTTTATTATGTTAAGAGAAAAAAAATTTCATACACAATCAGCAGGAACCTTCATTCTCTTACACACTTGTAAGCGTGCATCACTAATAAAACATGAATAATCCCAGTATAAAAAAAAAAACAACATTAAATATAATACTTCTTAATGCCAGAAGTAATTTTAAAAGTATATTAGATTATTTACTTGGTCTGTAAAAAGTTCCAGAATGTATGTAGATAAAGTTGTAACAATTCCTATAAAAACATTTAAGCAAGCTAGTGCAACAAAAGCTGAGCTAGGAATCTTGAACAGATAGGTAGTTGGATACATCAATGGAATGCTAGCCCATCTGGAAAAATATTTTAATAAATTTAACACTTGTTTTACAAAGAAAAATAATAATTCAATTTTAATAATAATTTTTTACACTTACCCATATAAGAAAAGAAGTAGAACAAAACCGACTATGTTATCGATAGAAACATAAGCATTTTCTCCAAATACGTAAAATATCAAAATACACAAAGAAAATGGTATCATGTAATTCAACTGAAAATAAAGTAAAGTAATTTTTAATAAAGCATTCAAACATTTCAAATTAATTAAAAACAATATTTAAAAATTCAACATACCAAATCCCAAGTATAAGTTCCAATCCAATAAGTGACAGGTTTCACGCCACTCACAAATTGTAAATGTTTGGACCCAGATATTTTATCTTCAATAAGATACATTACAAAACTTGCAGACACAAAAGACATTGCGAAAATCAAACATACAGCATGCATTAGCCCCAATCCTTTCCGTTCACTAAAAAAATAATATAACCAAAGAATCATAAGTAATAGAAGACAACTAAATTAACTTATATACAACATTATTTACAAAAATAAATATTTAAATATACTTAAAAAATATAAAAATACTATAGATAGCACTTTAAAAAACTGTACAAAAAATATTCACAAATTTTTATCCATAAAAATTAGGCATTAAATAATAAATACAATATGTTAAAATACTAGTAATAAGAAACAAACACAAATTAAGTATAAAAATATAAATTACAACTTTAAACTATTAGTTCAACATACTTGTTATAAAATAGCATTTTTTGCTATAAAACTTTTATTTCATTACCAAGTTTGCATAATTAACATGCAAAAACATTTAAGAATAAATATGTTTTTTTTTATCTCCATAAATAATTATTTTTTCTGTATAAAAAAATTCATGATAAATGTCTTTGAACAAAAATTCCTTAAACATGTAAAAGAGTATTTTCTTATAAAATAAAATAATAATTTCTAAATATTAATTATTATTAACTTAAAAATGCAATTTGTAATATTTTCTTTTACATTAAAATGTCGTATTAGAATTTGCATAGAATTTATGTTTTAGACGCATTTTTTTTTTTACATTTCCAGGCAATTGTATAAATCATAAATGTTCACTGTTTATTACAAATTCTTTTGCAATAAGCTTATTCCTTCAACTAATTAGCATAATAACAAATAAATGAGAATACTCACAGAACTTCATCTTTAAGTTGGTCTTGAGTCAAGTTCATGGGGTGGTTAATAACAGAGATACCATAGTAGCTACTGTTTGCCCCAGGAGGCAAATGAGATCGCAATATAAGATTGTTCATTGCATTCATGTAGGCAACTGATGAAGCCCAGCCCTTATTATCAAACCATACCTATAAAATAAATAATAGCTTTGGTAATGGTAGGTTATATAAATTTATTAACTTATTTAACTATTAACCATATTGAATTTTAAGTTCAATGGACCAAATTGGATTTTAAACTAATTGGATAATTTCCATTTCCATTAAAAATTATATTAAAGTATTCAAAAACAAAATAACATATTTTTTTTAATGCCACGAAAATCCTTGCTTTTTAGAATTCATTTAACAAAATGATGACATTTAATATGGCTTACCACTAAGATATATCAAGACTACTCTTATGGAGGAATAAATGTCTTCATAAACGAATGTCTATTGATAGGAATGGCAATGCCTACATAGAGGTCTCATGAAACATTAATTTTATATGAGAGAACAACTAGAAATCACACATATAGCCATCCAATTAACAATGCTTATTTTCACAGAAAGAAAAGATAATCACAGCATCATATTTTTTTTTTGTAGAGCTCTTGTTGTTGACTATAATTATAAAATGCAGTTGAGGGATGTAACAGTTTTTCACAATACTAACATAATGTTTTCTCATCAAAATAAAGGACCTTAAATACTAATGGGTATATTTATTTAATTTTTTAAAAATATTTAAAACCAAAATTAATGTTTACCAGAATTATGAATCTAATTTTAATAAAAATAAAAGTATATTTAGATGATAAAATTTTTTTATAAATAAATTATAGTTAAAAAAAACTAAAAAACACGCTTTTGGAGTTAATCAAACTAAAAAGTAAAAAATAATTGTTAACATAAGAATAAAATGACTGACGAGAAAATTAATGTAACTGTTCTAAAAGCGTGGGGTGCTCGATATCAATTGTTATAATTTTTCACTAGTTTCATTCCGAAATGCAGAGTTAGTTTAAAAATGTCATACAAAGCACCCCACACGTTTAGAACAGTGACATTAATTTTCTTGTCAGTAATTTTATTCTTATGTTAACATTTTTTATTTTTTAGTTTGATTAACTCTAAAGCGTGTTTCTTAGTTTTTTTAAACTATAATTTATTTGTCGCTTTTTAGTTCGATTTGCTATAAAACAACTGTCTTTAATATGTACAGATGTGTTAACAGTTGCATCTCGATTTAGAAAACATATTCAAAGATTTCTATATTGCCAATATAAACAGCTAGACATAGTGGTGTAACTTTATTTGCGAACAAGTCTTATGGACTATTTTGTAATCGAACCATTTCATCTAATGCTTCACTGTTACATGAGGTTCTTCCTGTTAATTTTGAGCAATCAAGTTCTTCAATTCGAATACCGTCGAAGGATCTTCCACGACTACATAAACTTGTCCATCAGCAAACAGTCGTGAGCATATATAAATGACTGCATGATCACCTGTACAACCTTGCATCTTGTAGATGCCCAACTCAGGATTAATGGGAGCATTAATCTCTCAGCAGTTCCGTAGCTGTATTTTGCTGGGAACTGTATCGATATTGGTTTAATTACGTGTACAGCATCTGAACCTAAATCGATACGGTACACGCCATATTAAGTTGAAACCGCGAATGATTAGTTAAGGTTCCTTAGATCGTACCCACATTTACTTGGATAACTGTAGTAATTCTAGAGATAATACATGCAAACCAGAGTTCCGACTAGAGCTGGATTTGGCGGGCGGCTTCCGGGAAACCAAAGCTTTTAGGTTCCGGTGGAAATATGGTTGCACAGCTGAAACTTAAAAGAAATTGTTGGAAGGGATCCTCATTAAAGGTTTCAAAGTGTATTCGTTCCGATTACGGGGCCTTAGATGAGTCCCATATCGTTATTTTTCGCCACTACCTCCCTGTGGCGGGAGTGGGTAATTTGCGCGCCTGCTGCCTTCCTTGGACGTGGTAGCAGTTTCTCAGGCTCACTCTCCGGAATCGAACCCTGATTCTCCGTTACCCGTTACAACCATGGTAGGCGCAGAACCTACCATCGACAGTTGATAAGGCAGACATTTGGAAGATTTGTCGTCAGCACAAGGACCATGCGATCAGTAGAAAGTTATTCAGAGTCACTAAAAGTAAACGATGGACCAGCCACCGATTGGTTTTGATCTAATAATAAAAGCGTTCCTTTCATCTCTAGTCGGAACTCTAGTTTGTATGTATTAGCTCTAGAATTACCACAGTTATCCAAGTAAATGTGGATATGATCTAAGGAACGATAACTGATTTTTAATAATACGGCGTGTACTGAGACGCATGGCTTAATCTTTGAGACAAGTATTTGACTACTAGCAGGATCAACAAGGGAGCTGCGTACACTCATGCGCAGACCAAGCTCTTGCTCTATCTCTTTTGGAGAGACCTATATTAAAATAAAATCACTAATCCTGACGATCCTAATCATGATGAGATAATAAACTTATCAAAATATTTTATTGTCGTCGGTCCTTGATAAGTCTACAACGTTTAAATTAAATCTGATCGCTTAAAGTAGGGCAAAGTCTAGCCCAAAGAGTCAGTTACAAACAAACAAACATATAGGTGAAACTAATAAAAGCATATTAAAAAAGAGAACTTGAATTTCAAAAAAAGAAAAAAAATGTCAAGAAGGTTATCATAAAATTTTCAGTTTTCTTTTCAAAAATCCTTTATGAAAAATTTGACAATACTTAGCTTAAATTAGAAGAAAAAAATTTCACTGAAAAAATATCTTTATGGTACTTCAAAATCAAAATAATTTTTTTGTTGATAATGAAAGCTTAATATAAAAACAAGTATAATAAATAATCACAACCATAATAATAATGATTTAAAGGAATAACATTAGGAGAAAAGATAATGAAAAATTTCAAAAAAATAAATTGTTAAGAAAATATTTTTTATAGAAATTTAAATATATTTAAAATAAATGAATTTGTGATGTCCAATACCTATGTTATATACCTAGTGGATATTTATATACTTATTAATTCTGTCATTTTATTTTAAATATTCTTAAAAAAAAAAAAAAATAATAATAATAATAATAATCGACATCTTACTTTCACATTATCAAACACTTCTAAACTTCTAATTTTGCTCTCCACATCAATGAGTGCATCATGAATTGGTAGCATTTGATTTGTATTTAATACTCTGCCAGCAAATTTTTTCACCATGTAATGAATAAAAGTAAAATTCACAGCTGACATTGGATTTTTCACTCCAAATGTAAAACCACCATAACTAAAATTTCAAGGAACATAAAAATTAATTAAATCTTTTGCTGATATAATAAATAATATTTGAAGAATTAATATTTTTAAGTAACTAAAAATAATAACAATAATAATTTTTAAAAAAAAATAATTTTAAAATAGTATCTTTAAATAATGTACAATGTAGAAGTTGCTCTGCATGTAAACTAATTTTGAAACAGTTAAGCAACTTAAAATTTAAATAAATAAAATTACATATAAAATGTTGTTTTTAATTTATTTATTTTTGCAATTATTGATATAAATTGGTTTTATTTTTTAAAACAAACTGTAGTAGATACTACACTTAGCTAAAATTCAAATATTGCTAATTTAGTGGGATTTTTTTTTACTTATATCATTTTGAAATTCTTTTATATTTTCTATCCTGTTCTATTAAAACCAAAAAGTTACTTTTAAAACCCTTTTAAAGCTTTAGAGAGATTTTACAAGTCATTTTGTTTCATATTCGAATAATACAGAATTGGAAAAAGTCAATAACTGCAATTTCCACGAAATTTATACTATTTTAGATATTTTTAAAAGAAAATGAATACAATATCAATTTAATAAAATCTTTTTTGTAAACTGTGATTACTAAGCACATACACAAATAATTTATTTTCTTATAAAATTATTATTATTCTTTATTATACGAAATTCTTAAGAATGAATGTAGAATGCGATTCTTTGATTATGAAAAAATTTAGTAGAACTTGTTATAATAGATAATAATTTGAATACACACAAGGATTTCTTTAAAAAATAGGAAATTATTATTAGCAGTATGACTATATGAAATAAAACTAATGTAGAAAAATCAACCATAATAATTAATACACAGGAAGCAATCAAGTTTAAATATTTTAGTACAATATTTTAGCATTTAAAACAGCATCACAGCATACCGTTGCTTATAAAATTTCTTCCTAGTCTTAATAAGCCAATCTGATATATTGCGTCCAGTCATGTTATACACCGTATCAGCATTGCTTATAGAAACATGAGGTGGAGGAGGGCCTAACGCATCTGCCGGGCAAGTCTGAGTTCCGATGGTGCAAGGGCAAGGAATTAAATCAAAGTTATCTTTTTCACTGGAGTCCACTAATAGAGACTGATTGTATCTTCGAGGCTCACATGGTAAATCTCTACAGGACAAAAAAAGTTCCATAAAAATGAATACATTATCTTCTTTTTACATAAAATATAATAACTTTATGTTTTAGTCAGAAATAAATGGTATATACATAAGATTGCATATGCTAAAATTATTAAAGTATTAATGAACATACCCTGAGACATTATAAATTTTTTTAAGGAAAATAATTTGTTATAACCAGTCAAGAATTATTTGTTCTCTTTTATTATGTGTTATGGTCTAATCAAGGAAGTGTAAATAATTTTTTAGTTTTGGTTTTTGTAATCATTTTTAGAATATTAATTTATCTTAAACAAAATTAGCAAAACCATTAATATTAGGAAAATAGTTCCATTAAAATAAAGCAAATTAAATTATAGAATTTAATGAACATACTCCGAAATATTATCAATTTTTTATAATATATACTAATATATATCTTTAAAGTATTACATCTATAGTTTTGAAAAATATTTATTAAAAGAAAAAACATTTACTGCATCTTTATAACCAATTAATACATTTTAATAAAATTTTCCTTTTCTTTGAGAACAATAAGTTCAAGTAATGTGGCATAAAAAATGCACAAGTTTTCAGCTATACTACAATTCCTAAATATAAGTATAAAATATCAAAAAACATTCCTTTGACATTTGTCCATCTAAATATGATATCCAAATTTCACCAGCATGTATCTTTTTTTATAGGGAAAATTTTATATTGATAGAAAATAGTTAATTAACTAAAGAATTAAATTGAAGAAAATGAAAAATGAAACATGAAAAAAATGAAGAAAATGAAATATGAAACTGCTCTCATATTATATGGTGAAAAATTGATGTGTAAGTATGAGAAATGAAGTTTTAGAAACGCATTGTATCTCGATTCCTTAAATGAGGAAAGTAGGTCTCTACAATTTCTTCTTCTACGTTGTGGGATTTTTTTATTTCCATAAAAGATTTTACACATGTTTTCAAAAGTACACAAACATCCAACATTCTTTTTCAGCAACATTCAGTTTGTTTTCGAAAAATAGGATCTTCAAAATTTGTTTCATAAATCCAAAATTAAATAAAAATAATACCTTCTTTTATTTAGGCCTTGTTTATACATTAAAACTTGTGTTTTATGAATCCAAATTCTCCTCCAATTTTAAAGTAATATGTAATAAGTACTGTGTAAAGTAAGTGTAATAAGGCCAAGTTTTATTTGTCTACTTTATAGGTGAAATTAAACATTTAACATTTTACAGTACAGAAATTATATAAAGTTTTTATAAATGGTGACATGATGCAACTTCTCTCTAAAAATTGATTAGGGGAAGTTGCATCATCTTACTTACTCCATCTGTCAAAATTACACATGGGTGACATCAGATTTATGATTTTTTAAATGAAGCAGTCAACCTTTTAAATTCAAAATGTGAGGAAATCCAAAATAAAATTATAGCATACTTTCTCAACACAAATGTTTGAGGAAGCAATAGATTGTATGGAAAATCCCAATTTAAGGGATTGTAGTTGTTTCTCATAATTATTTTTCTTTTCCAAATATTAGTGAAAAGCAAAATCGAAAGAAGATCACAATCAGAATGAAATAAAAATGAGGAAATTAAATTTGATGTCAAATACCCATATTAATGAATTTTCTTCTACAAGAACTTAGATTTGGCAATACTATGTAAAGTAATCCTTTATACCAAAAAATTCATATGCGATAGAGAAATTTAGTTGATTTATTTAGAAATATATCAACGAAGTAACAAGAAAAACTTTCAATATAATAATAAAGAAAACACAACACATTTTTTTTTTTACATTTGAAAAATTGAGATAAAGTGGCTTACCCGAGCATAAATTTCAAAGCACCTAATCAAATAAATTTTTTTGTAATTTAATTTTATATAACATTATTCTTAAATATCACTGTTCATCATATTCTAAATTTCACAATAAAAATATAAAAGAATAAAATAACAAAAAAGAAATGTAAGAATAAAACATATGATGCATTTCATTAAAATTTAATAAAATAAAATAAATTTAATTTGATAGGATTTATTTCATGTAAAATTGTATAAAAAATAAGATTTCAAATTTTAATAATAATAAATTATGAGACATAAATTTTGAAATCTTCAAACAAATTAGACTTACTCAAGAGGATGACCTTTCACGCATCGTGTTCCCATTCCAACGGGAGAGAGAAGTGAATCTATATATTTTTGAGTAACTGGACTATGGCTATCTTCATTACTAATGAAATAGACAAATATAGCGATTCAATATAAAATAATATAATACAATTTTGGAAAAATACAATGCACTTAAGTAATAGTTTAAGCAAATTTAAATAGTTATTTTATAAAAAAGGATTATGAAACAAATTAATGGAAAAAAGTTCTGATATTTCTAAAGTATGAGTTATAATAATTATGATTTTTTCCTAATTTTTTTGGGAGAACTAGAAATATATTACAATTATTTTTATAAAAACACTTAAAAATGTTAATGATTTCTTAAATATCACTTTTAATTTACTTCATATAATTTCAATTAAACTTTATTAACAAATTTAGAATGGTTAAAATGTTTAAAAGAATGCTTAAAATAGATCCAGTTAATATATATATAAATAATATACAATAATAAAAATTTACTAACATTTCTGACACATATGAAAAGAAACAATTATTTTATTAATTTATGATAAACCTTTTTATTACAATATGAAACAAAATTTAAAATTTTAAATGAATAACATTTTCATTTTAAGTAATTCTATAAATTTAGTGTTGAATACCTGAAGAATATATTATTAGGAGGACCATAAATCCATGGTTGCAATTCAAGTGGAGGTTCTTCAACAAGAGGTGGAATGAATAAGGCCAGAATAAGAGCAAGACAGATGAAACCAGCAGGCATAACAATCT